GGGTCACGGCAAAGAAGAATCGAAACGTGGCAGTGGTGTTGCGAATGGCTTGGATGAATTTGATTGTGATAGCTATATGGATGCGTTACGTGGAGAGCTGCTCTTTGATAAGATTGATCCTGCAGATATCAACGTTGGATATGGATCCGCAAGTGATGTTAGTAGCGAGTTGGGTACTGAGGAAGAACTGGACGTTCCTGCGGAGCCTGAATCAGTGTATGAAAGCGAGGTAGATTCTGACAGCGACTTTGATGACGACTCCAGCGCGTTCCTGCAAGACGACACCAATATGCGTCAACTCACAGCCACAGGTTGGGATATATACGATGAGCATCATTCCGGTAAGTGCAGCACATACAGAATTGCGAATCATATCAAAATCTAATTCTGTATTTTACTGAATACAGGTGATGTGGTGTTAGATGCAGCGGAGTTGTACGACGGAAGTTTTGGTCCCACCAGATCTGCCGCTGCGTTCGCCGAGTCTCCTTTGGGAATTTTCTTCTATTTTCTTCCCAAGAAGATGTGGTTTGCGTTTGCAAAGGAGTCTAACGCGTATCGAGAGGAGTGTATTCCTGCTGTGGCGAAGGCGCAACGAGACAAGCAGCTACAGGCTCAGCACAGGGATCCTGTGAAGTCGGTTCAACCTCTTGAAGTCTTAGAAGAGCAGCTGCGCAATATGAAACCAATTCAAGCACATGAAATTCTCCACGTGATTGGCCTTCTGATTGCTCGTACACTCTGTGGTCATACGGATGGCTTGGAAAAGCACTGGGCGACGCGGGAGGACGGTGCAGTACCACGCGGTACCTTCTCCAGATACATGAAACGTGAAAGATTCCGGTTAGTTACCAGGTACTTGCACTTCACCAAAAACGACCCTGCTGCCGCAGGCACAGACAAGGCTTGGAAAGTTCGGCCCATTCTTCAGGTTCTTGAAAAAACGTTTCATCGTGGCTATCGGCTGGGGCCTCGCATCAGTTTTGATGAAGAAACCATTCCTAACAGAAGCAAGTTCAACCCTGTGCGCGTCTATAATAAGGAGAAGCCTCACAAGTACGGGACTAAAGTGTACATGACGTGCTGCGCGGAGACCGGATACTGTACTCGGTAGGTGGCTTACTGTATTCTGTGTCTGGTTACTCTGTATCGTACAGAATAAGAAACCGAGTGCTTACCGTATGCTGTATTGTGTAACATATAGGATGGAAGTGTATCTCGGCGCTGTAGAGTACTCGAAAGGTGTGGCACAGAAGGCAGTCATCAGGAACGTGACTAAGGCGCTTGATGGCCAGGCCCATAAAAGGCTTATCATCGCCGACAATTTCTACACGTCGTGTGCTGTATTGCTGGAGTTATTGGACAAGGATCTCTACTACGTCGGTACTCACCGCAACGAGCGGCTTGGGTGGCCCAAGCCGTTCAAAAAGTACTATCGGCAACTCTTCATGAGTTTTGTGGACATGGCGATAGTCAACGGTTTTATTTTACATAAAATTATTCTCAAGCAAAAAGGGCTGCCAGTGCCAACACACGCGCAGTATATGCGCCGACTTCATACCGAGCTTTTGGCCACGAACGAAGCCACACTGCGTACAAACACCAACACCGAGGACCTCGTTTCTGAGCCTATTCACACGCAACCGCACAGACTGCGAAACAATGAGGAAAAATACAAAGGCAAGAAGCGAAAAAAACCCAGAGATGGATCAACCGCCAGCAACCTCCAGCGTAAAGGGCAGAAGCGTAAGGGCAAGCGCCGCCAGCACTTGTGCAAAGTTTGCTCAGCCTTGGCAACTCCCCAGACAAAGAGCTTTGAAACCAGTTACTACTGCGAGCAGTGCACATCAAACTTCGGAGGCTACGTACCTCTATGTAACAAGGTTCGCCACGAGGAAACCGGCAACACGCTCACATGCGGCCAAATATGGCATGATTTGTGGTGCAACGGCACTGCCATCCCTGCTCACCTCAAGAAGCGTATTCGCTTCCGCAAGCGAAAGAACTTCGAAATTTCGAGCGACAGCGACGACGGCGGCAGCGACGCGAATGAGGATTGCGTGGATATCCAGGATAGCGAGTAACTAGGCGTAGATAATGCAGCCCGTACACTCACCAATTTTTCGGCCAGTTCTTGCCTAGTTCTTCTCTACTCTTGCTAGTCTAGAACTGGCCGAAAATTTGGTGAGCGTACGGGTGACGTAGTGGCACGCTTCGCCAGTCATTTAGGCGCAAACGCAGATTGCCCAGACCCATCAGATTCAGCGGGATACTCGAAGTAGAAGGATATGCGACGAAAGTCACGTCACATTTGCCCAATGAAATCATGACATTTTACCAGCCGGTGGGCACATTGTTGTTTTTCTACGACAGATTGCAGTCTATATGTACCTGGTCGCAGCGTTTTCGCTACATCCCATTGCGGACGGCTTGCAATGCATTAAGTTTGCAAAAGTGGCAGCTATAGTTTAATAAAGATAATCATTTACTCTGTATTATACAGAATATCGTGAAGCGGGCATTGGGTTAAACTCTCAACCATATTCCTAAGCCACAGCTACTTTGCCACTGATAAGATGATTCGGTTGAATTCAGAGTACGTAGCGATTCTAAAAGCGAATTCGAAGCGCGATTTACAAGTGGTTGTAAAGGATTTTAACATTAAAGGCGTTGATGAGCGATCAATCGTCTATTACTACAATAAAGCCACGGAGCGCAAAGGACATATGCTGTTCGTGGATTCAGTCAAAGGTCAAATCAGATACAACTTTGATCGACCGATAGATATTGAGCAATAACTTTAGAATATTTTGTTTGGGTGAATCAATATACATATACCATGGCAAGTTTTGTTAAACTCGATTCCACTGACCTCGTTCAAGACAATTATAACAGCACATGGAAATACAGCTTTCCTGGTAGTGCTGCCGATTTTAAGGATGTGGTATGCGCGGTTTAATCGATTTCGATGTATAACTCTGAATACAACATCGATGCAACTCAGTTTCTGAATAACTCCTTCAAAATCGAGGTTCCGACAGTTGGAGCCACATCCACTGTATCTGTTATCCTCCCTGATGGACACTACAGCTATACCGATATTAATCGAAGCATTCAGACGGCTCTCGTAAATGCTGGAGCGTATTTAATTAATCCATCTGGTGAGAACGTTTTCTATATTCAACTAACGGAAAACAGTGTGTATTATGCTGCTCAATTCGATTTTAGCGCTACTCCAACGACACTTCCTACAGCCGGTGGCACTTGGACACGACCAGCAAGTGGGCTTTATTCGTCAGGCGGTACTGGTTTGCCAACAACAACGCGTGTCACTCGCATCATCATTGATAACGCCTCTTTTGGTAAAGTAGTAGGATTGACTGCTGGTACGTATCCTTCAGCGTCTGCAACGGTTTCAAGTGCTCAGCTGTCAAATACCATTCCTCAGATTCACCCAACCTCGAGCTACATCGTTTGATGCGACCTGATCAAAAACGAGTATGTTGCCTCTGGTGATATCCTTAGTGCGTTTGACCGTGGTGATGCTCAGGTAGGTCAATTAATCAGCTATAAGCCGAGTCAGTATGCTTGGATGAACTGTCATAACGGCGCGAGAACGTCTAATACGATCAGTATTTATAATCAAAACGATCAAAAGGTTAAGTTCCGTGATACTTCTGTCTCGATCATGTTGTTGTTGAGGCCAAAAAAATAAGCATTCAATGATTTTTTTTCTCCCAATCCGCAGAATAGGGTGGAACTAATTTAATCGAAAAGAGCCAGCAATCATTGCTTTCTTACGTTTAGCACGGAGTGCAGCCATCTGAGCCTTCATTTCGGGCGAACCTTTAGCTGGTTTCTTAGGGACTCCTACACCATAGCGTCTCTTTACCTCACCTCGAACCGATTTGATCAGGTTCTCATGCTCTGGCTTGGTTGCTTTTGATAGTAGAAACTTCTCGCCTGCATCGACTGCATCAGTTAGAATCCCCTTACGTTTAGCATACCCGAGAGCATTTTTTGCCGCCTTCTTAACATCCGCTACCGAAATACGACCACCTTCTTTCTCTACATCGAGCAAGGCTCGGACGTAGGCAGAGTTTTGAGACTCTACCAGGGGTATCGCTGTCAGAGTCATATACTCCAACTCCTGTCAATGACTTAATAGCCGCCCTTGCGGGGATTCCTGCTTGAGGGGCTCCAAACGCTGTAGCAATAGCAGGTACTGCCGCATCCAGACCCTTGCTCAGCAAATCACTATCTTTTACGAATTTGAATGCTGTCGATAACCCTGATTTGACTCCAAATGGATCCTCCTTATGGCTTCTTGTAGCCTTTCTTGATCTCATGCTTGGTAATGTCAAGTCTAACCCCACGACCCGCCTTGCGTGCCTTTAGTGCTTTCTCATACGAAGCTGGGTGGAGATGGATAACAGAGCCTGAACCCTTGAGTTGATCAGCTGTAAGACTTAGCTTACCTGTCTTGAGGGCTTTAGTCAGCTTGGGAGCTGGAACATCGCTGGAAATCGTCAATTCGCGATACATTATTGCTATATTTCCTGAAACATATTTAATACAGAATTGACAAATTCAGATCTTTGAATCGATTCAATAGATTCATCTTATTTTTTTGTTTGGAATATAGCCATAGCATGCAAAACGGACCACAATAATCGCCATAAGTGCCTTGATATTGTTTGGGATTGTATCGCCCGATGCCCTACTTCGTAGGTGCCGCTTCCCCCATTGAATCAAAGAATTCTCCATCATGAACAGCCTGCCAGTGTCCTACATCGAGATTAGGCGATCTAAGTAGAACCAGATATGATCCTTTCTTCGGAAGCGGCTTTGTGATCTCATTTGACTCAAAGATAGCATCGAGATGAACCCCAATACGCTTGGCAAGTTCAATTAGATCATGATCGGATGTAATAGGCTTGACGAGTTCCATAATAATTATATTTGATAAAGTATATTACGTGCCATATAGAATCTCAACGATGTCTGAAACACAACTTTCCGACCAATATCTTTACCAGAGCTCGCTCAAGAGTGATCCGGATATTAAAGTCTCCTCTGGCAAGCGCGTGCCTTTCGTTATCGATCTTAATCAGGGGTCATACCAAAACGGTGTTATTACTATCGATGCAACATCCCAGCTTAATGGAAGTGAAGGATTTGCTTCGCTCCGTGATGCCTACATTATGCTACCATACAAGGTATCGATGAAAAACACTCATGCTACTACTGTTCAGGCTAATCCTGCTAACTGTTTTTGCTGGTCGCTGAAGTGCGGAATATAGGAGTGTGATCGATTCGATGAGTCTTGAGCTGAATGGTAAGACTATCGTTTCTATGGCTGACTACAAGCTGTTTTGGAGCAGTATTCGTGCTCAGACTGGATATAGTCCTCCGTATGTTGAAAAGCATGGTGCAGAGTCTTTCCTCTTCCCTGATGCTGCTCAGTCGTCGAGGTACAGTGCTACGGGCTCTTTTACTGGAGACGGGTATTCGAATAACACAGCGTTCTCCTCCTCCTTCACCGCCGGCGCTATCTCTGCCACAGCTTCAGTAGCAAATGATGGTTTTGTTAAGCACCTTCTTTCGAACCCATTAAATGCTGGAGCTGACTCATCTACGTCGTGGCCTTCCACTGGTGCCGCATCTGCTACAACCACCATCGCTAATCAGCTGGGACGTGGCGCTTTCGTGGCGGGTGGCTATGCTGCTGGCGCTATCATGGGAACGTGGAACTTCATGCTAAAAATCAAGCTTGTTGATCTCCACCCGATTTTCAAGGAGCTTGATCTTATGGCTAACCCTCAAATCCGTCTTCGTTTCCGGGTTAATCAGGGTACTGTAGCTATTGATGCTGATACTTCTCGTTATATGACGCTTACAAGTACTACACTATCGAGTGGTAATACATGCCCTGTAATGATTGCTTCGTCGGCAAGTAGTAATCCTATGGTTAGTGTTCTTTCAGGTTCAACAGCTGGTTCTACTGCTGTTTCATGGGGTGCTGTCGTCAATGCGCTTGAACCTACTATTGATGGAACCTACATGCCTTTCACGACTTCTCGACTGTATGTCCCGTTTGTTCATTTATAGAACCCTCAGGCTATCATCTCGAAGCCAGTAAAGAAGGTCCGCTACAACGACCGTTATGCACAGTGGTTTTACCAGCGCGCCGGTATTGGCAAGCAAGGGACACAGCTTAATGCTTCTTTCGATCTGCAACTTTCGGCTTCTGTAAAGAATGCGAAGTACGTCATTCTTTTACCATTTGCTGAGCAAACTGGAAACTTTACTACTGCTGCTGTTCAACAGTTTCAGAGTCCGTTTGATACGGTTCCTTGGACACTTCAGCCTGGTTCGAGCATTCGCAACTTCAATGTCCGTATCGGTTCGACTCAATGCTTCGACATTAGTCATGACTACGATTTCCACCAATTCACAAACGAGTTCGCTAAAATTGCTGCGATTAATGGTGATCTGACCCCTGAGCTTCTGAATGGACTGCTTGACTATCAGACGTGGTCTCTAACTAACCGCATCCTTATCGCTGACGTTAGCCGCCTGACGGAGCGTGATGTACCTCAGGCTATTCAGATCCAGGGTACAAACGCTGGTTGCCAGGGAACAAACATGCTTGTTTTGGTTGTGAGCGAACAAGAGCTCTCCTACGATCGTCTAACGGGAGAGGTTTTAGATTTTACCACGGCTTAGTTAGAATGTGTTTAGTAATTTTTGTCATAGGCAAAAAAACATTTTTTTTTGTCGCTTAATTAAGTTCGTTGAGTAGTTTAGGGCATTTCTCAATTACGAATGGGTTCTTACGAAGCCAATTGATATAATTAGAATCGGTGCGACTAATTTGCTTTAGCGTCTTCCCCTTGTACTTGCCCCAACTCATCATATACGAATTATCATTGCTAAGAAACTTGAAGTGAAGGAAAATCTTGATATCCTCAGTAATATTGAGACTGGGTTGGTTGTGCATCCATCGACAATATCTGGGATCATAAGCATATACTTCTTCGATCGGTGTGCCCTTGTATTTTCCAAAAGTTAGTTCGTTCGACATGTTATTAGTTATGTGTATCTATATACATAGGGTCTTATTTTTTTTTGAGAAAAATAAATTAATTCTGAAATTCAGACAAACCTGTTCTCAGTGGTCGAGCGGTTCTGAAACTACCCTAAGATCGAAAAGACGTTGCTTTCGCTCTCAGGTGGTCGAGAGGTTGCGTCGCCAAAATACCAGCTGCCTCGAAAGAACGTTCCAGAACTGGTCTCGGTGGTAAATTACGGAAAGTAAAAAAACTGCCGGCGTAATGTTCCATGTCATACTACTAACGTTTCTATCAGATTTTCGATTTGAGTTTTCAGCCACTTGATCCGCTTGGTAACGGTAGACGACAGGAATTTTAACCTCTTCAGCCTCCAAGTCTAGATCTCTGCAATAGTCCGACAAATACCGGATAGATGACCCAAACACACCCAGATCTGCGCTTTCAGATTTGGGATCGAGCTGAGAGGGTTTCTTACAACGAATCACTCACCTCCATAATAAACCAACGGACTTCATCAAGAATAGTTCCCTTTCATTTACTTTCATAGCTTTCCCATAACCATATTTAGGAGTGCAGCTTGAGTATTCTCATCGCTTAAGCCATCGGTGTCATTTCCACGGCCGAACGGCCAGTTCCTCCTTGACTTTTATTTGGATCATATTTCGATCATCACATAAATGGCCAGCTGATCAAATCCCTTGACCCTGTCAAAAGTTGATCAAATCCCTTGACCCTGACGAAAGTTGATCAAATCTGAAGTGACTTGAAATTGTTTGGTATACAAGACCTTCTACATGCATTTCTATATATACATCAAATTGTATATCTTTACTACTCTACGTAATCTACGCGTTCGTCGTTAAGGTGTCTGCACTTCCTCCAAGTTCCACAGGGACAGGGAGATCGAGTGGCTCAGGAGCTAGGCGTTGCCGTTTCTTCGCTCGGGACTTTGACATATCCTCAATTCGGCTGACATAGCGTTTCGATAGAGCTTGGATTATGCCGACAAATGATGGTAGAGAAGGGTGTGGAGCTGTTAGCTCCGCGTTTATCTCGCGGTTAAAACGCTCTAAAATATTATAAGTACGACTTGCCATAGCAGCACCCACCTCATGAACATTTCAAACACTAGGTGTGAATGTCTTCGGCCACGTTGTACGAAAATACGACCAAAACCGCTTCCTCAACACATCCGAATACCGAATGCTCTTGGCTACACACGTGTCTCTTATCTTGCCTTTCACAAATTTGATACCTTCGTCTTTGATCTTCTCGTGCGGAATGACACTCAGCATATCCAGACTGCCCTTACTCATTGCAATGACGACCTCACTTTCAGGGAGGCTTAGTGCCTCCATCTTCCTTCGGCAGGCCAGCTTAAAGTGAAAGTAGCAGCCGACGATATCTGCATCTGAAAATTGAACTTGTGCTGCCTTTTACAATCCGGCCTCAAAGTCACAGACCACCATGCTCGGCTCGATTTTGTCGTCTGCAGCGACATTGACAGCCTCCATCAAATGCCAGTACGTATCTTGGGTCTTTGACGTGCACAATGTATAAAATACAGGGACGAATAGGTCCGTTGCATGATCAAAAACCATCATTACCGCGCACTGGTAGAATGGGCGCGGGACGCACCTGAATGTCCGGTCGAGAGACAACGTAGTCTGTTTGTACTTCAGTAGCTTGATCAGATCAGGATGAGCCCAACCGACTAAGCGCTCTAGTGTTGTTCCATTCATATAGGACCTGTAAAATTGAAAGAATGGCTGTGGGTTCCCCGATACCAGTGACAGCGGCGAAACCTCCACAATACCATGCAAATCTGCACCAAAGTGAGCACGTCTCGCTCGGTGAACTCGCTGGAGGACTTACTCACGTGTAAGTCCGAATTGCACCAGTGATACTTCCTCAGGGTAGAAGTCGCTGCGAATCTGCTTCCAGATTCGTTCCGCCGTCAGGTCCATTCGAGTGATAGCCATCACATCAGTGGCCTCCTCCATGGATTCGGTAACATCTACTCCAGGTAATTCCACTCTACGCCGGTCGCAAGAATGTTCACCACGAATTTGGTACTCATTTGTCTTGATATCGTAATGTAACTTTGCCTTACATTTTGTACTCCGGCAGGAGCTTCACCTGTACGAAATCTTAACCTCCAATTTATGGTAACCTGTAAATACGTGACCAGCTGCATGGACAACAGTGCGACGATGATGCTGAACACTGTTCGCTGGAACATGCAGTGTAATACCTTCAGCGGCTTCTCCGTCTGCAGGATGCGCAGTAGAAGGTGAATTTGATATGACACACTGGTGATCGCCTTCTCTACTCAAAAAAGATGGAGGTGATCCCCTTAAGCCGCCAGGAAAACGCTCGCTGCAGGCATCGCTAGAGCCTCGTTATGGAGTTGAGCTTCTTCCCCGAGCTGCACGTTGTCGAGGACTGCAATCGCGCCGAGTGTAAGAACTACAGCGACGACTTGGGCTTCGCGTCGACTCGACCAGCTCACGTAACTTGAGCTTCTCCGACGACTCCGTCTCTGATCATGTCCAACGGTACGATGAGGACTTCAGCTGTAGCGGCAATGCAAAGAGCGCCAAGACGAACTTGTGCCGCGCCAGCGACTTTCACGGGGTTGTACAGAAGCGATCTGGTGCCTTGGGCTATATCCTCGGAGAGACGTGCGCCGACGACTTGTACTGCGGCTTGGACTGCGACCGCGACCATAACTCCGCCGGCGACGTGGGCTGCGACCGCGACCACGACTATGACTGCGCCGACGACTTGGACTGTACTCGCGACCGGACGAGTGACGATGACGTGAGCTGCGGCCACGACCAGCAGAGTCTTGATGGCGTGGACCGTTGCAGTGGTCGTCGACACACCAACAGCTTGGACTGCGGCAGGAACGAGACTTACTTCAGCGACGTAACATACGTCACGAAGCTGAGACGCTCTGAGAGATTGGGTTTCGCATGCGCTCGGGGCTGTGCCGAGATCTCGCAGTGCTCTGGTGCCTTGGACTGCACGGAGGCGAGCAGATAGTGGCCTCGTGAAGTGGTGAAGAAGGTGCTGGAGACGCTACAACTTGCTGGTTCATGGTCGTACAGGAAGGGCGCTACTTATCTTCGTTGTCGGGAAAGTGTAAATGACGGAGGTGGTCGACCACACATATCCATACTTAAGATGGATATTTGATCAAATCACTTGACCAGGTACGAAATAGAAGGTTGACCATTTTTGTGATGATTGAAATATGGTCCAAATAAAATACTTCGCACGCAACAATCGCAACTCTGGAATAAATAATGACGTTGACGGAGCATTCATTACCAATACATCCACCATCTTTGGTTTGGGTCCAGTGTGGCATCCAGGTCTCATACAGAGTCTCCTGAGTAGGATTAAGAAAGTAGAACTTTGCTGTCGATCTCTTTTTTGTCCTAGGTCATCTCCAGTTACAGAATTTCAATTAATCCTTTCAACATGCTCATCAATCTCCTCATCCTCGTCATACGTCTTGTAGCTGTAGCCGTGGAGCAACCGGTCCATAAAAAAGCGCAATTTCTTGTCGGTCGCAGCGAAAGTATTCGCCCCCAGGGGAGCACGAAATCTCGCACGGTTAGCACCTTTAAGACACTTCGAACCAAAGAGTTCTTTACTATTTTCAGTGTACTCATGCTCCAAAAGAAGAGCAAAGGAATCATTTTTTTTCCATCTTGCTAATGGCTTTGGCAAGGTCTTCATTCAACGATTCATCCGGGTTTAGCTTCAATGGGAACATCATTGAAAGTAGACAAATTAAATACTGTTGTACACCTGTACAAGGCGAAACCCCTTTGTCACGTTTTCCCAACGCATGCTCAGCGTCAACAGAGTGAACATCATAATAAGCGAATAACGCCGAGCTACCATTGGCTTTACCAAAATCATGTCGATACTTCACCTCGTCGTCTCGGTATTCTGGTGCTTGAGAAAATGTTCGCCTTCTCCATATACCAGTAATTTATAGAATTACATTTTCTCTATTAATACGTGCTGCCACGGCCAACATTCGTCCAGATGTACCTATGTATACATTTCCATTATCCAGACGGTATACGTTTGAATTAAACTCGAAAAAACAAGGCGGCTGTTCCAGGCCAGGAGGAGTCATACATGTAAATAATCAAGAATAATCCTGGCGACACAATCTAACTTAAATAAGTATCCATATATGAGGAAGATTTGCTGAGGACGTGGGAAGATATGAACGTGGGGCTGTCGTATAACCAGGATTTAATCCTATTGTATCCAGGACTAAGTCCTTGTCACAGATTCGTACAGTAATGAATAGACCATTTAGCATGATTAATCAGGTATTTAGCCATGATTTAATCCTGGCAGCTGACTTGAAATCTGGATTCCTGTCTGCAAATGCAATCACTTTACGCTCACTACGACGAAGCCCTATCAATGCTGCCTCTACGAAAAGCTCCATGTCAAATTTACAGAGTTGCAAGGTAAAACTAACTTGTATTCAATGAAGTTAAAGACATGCATTCAATGTAGTTAATGCACGCGAGACTTACAACCAGCACAAT